GGAATCGGGCGAATTTCCAGTTTTATGGCCCTAATACGCTAAAAATAAGGAACGGTCATGGCAAGGCGATGATTATTGTTCTTTAGATCATTTTTATGGGCCGGCACAATTTTAGGAGATCTAGGTCTAGTCGCTTGTCCCCATGCAGATGGCATGAGCTATAAGTACACGAAAATATGGGGATCGGGCGGAATTCCAGTTTTACGGTCCTAAAATGCCAAAAAACGAGGAACGAACATAGAGAGGCGATGACTATTGTTCCTTAAGTCATTTGTGATGGGCTGGCAAAATTTTCAGGCGACTAGCTCTAAATCACCTAAAATTTTGCGGGTTCACAGAAAACGATCTAACGAACAATAGTCATGGGTTTTCCATGACCGTTCCTCATTTTTTTGGCATTTTAGAGCCATAAAATAGTAATTTAGGACGACTTCTAAATTTTGTGTGCTATAGTCCATTCCATCTGCATGAATTCTGGCGACCAGCCCCGAATCGCCTAAAACTTTGTGGGCCCATCAAAAATGACCTAATGAAAAATAATCATGGGTTCGTCATAATCATTCCTCATTTTTTAGCTTTTAGGGCCATATAGCGGGAATTCAGGATGATTTCCTAATTTTTGAGGGATATAGTTCACACCATCTATATGAATTCAGGCGACCGGCTTCGTATCCCCTAAAATTTTGCTGGCCCAATTGAACCAACGTAAGGAGAAATAGTCATGGTTTCATCATAACCGTTCCTTATTTTTTGGCGCTTTAGGGCCATAAATCAGGAATTCATGATGATTTTCAAATTTTCATGTGCTATAGTCCACGTCATCAGCATGAATTCAGGCGACCGACTTTGAATCGCGAAAAATTTTGTGGGCCCTTACTATGACCGTTCCTCATTTTATGGCGTTTTAGGTCTATAAAACCTGAATTCAAAACGATTTCTAAATTTTTGTGTGCTATAGTTCACACCATCTGCATGAATTCGAGCGACTGACCTCGAATCGCATAAAATTTTGTGGGCCCATTTGAAACAACCTAATAAAAAATAGTCATATGTTCGCCATGACCATTCCTCTTTTTTTAACTTTTTGGGGACATAAAACTTAAATTCAAGACGATTTAAATTTTTTGAAGTGCTATAGTCCACGTCATCCGCATGAATTAGAACGACCGACTGAAACGGCCTAAAGCACAAATGGCCTTGGATTCCCCTTGACCGTTCTTCATTTTTGGCTTTTTAGGGCCATAAAATAGAAATTCGGAACAATTTGCAAATTTTCGTGTGCTATTGTCCACGTCATCTATATGAATTCAGGCGACAAGATCCAAATCGCCTAAAACTTTGCGGGTCAATCAGAAATGGCTTAATGAAAAAGTGTCAATGCTTCAGCATGCTTGTTCCTCAGTTTTTGGTATTTTAGTGCCATAAAACAGGAATTCTGGACGATTTCCGAATTTTCATCTGCTAAAGTCCACGCCATGTATGATTAGAGCGATCGGCCCCGGATCGTCAAAATTTTGCGATCCCTTTAGAAACGACCTAATTAACAATAGTCATGGGTTCGCCGTGATCATTCCTCATTTTTTGGCGTTTTAGATCCATGAGACAGGCATTCAAGACGATTTTCAAATTTTCGTGTGTTATAGTCCACGTCATCCGCATGAATTCGGGCGACCATCTCCGAAACGCCTAAAAATTTGTGGCCCCATCAAAAATGTCCTAATATACAATAGTCATAGGTTCTCCATGACCGTTCCTCATTTTTTGGCGTTTAGGGCCATAATACAAAACTTCTAAACAATTTGCAAATTTTTGTGTGCTATAGTCTACGCGATCAACATAAATTCGGACGACTGATCCAAAACGCCTAATATTTTGCAGGTCCATAAAAAAAGACCTAATAAAAAATAGTCATGGATTCTTTATTTTTTGGTGTTTTAGGGCCAAAAAACAGGAATTCAGGACGATTAGTAAATTTTTTTCGCGTGCTATACCACACCATCAGCATGAATTCGGGCGATTGGCTTTGAATCGTCTAAATTTTTGCGGGCCATCAGAAACGACCTAATTAACATTAGTCATGCGTTGGACATGACTGTAACTAGTGAAGAATAGTCATGGGTTCGCCATGAGTGTTCCTTCTTTTTTGATGTTTTAGGTCCATAAAACAGAAATTCAAGACTATTTCAAAATTTTTGTATGCCATAGTCCATGTCATCTGCATGCATTCGAGCGACCGGTTCCGAATCACCTGAAATTTTACGGGCCCATAAAAAATGAGCTAATGAACAATAGTTATCGCTTTGCCACGATCGTTAGGCCATGCCATCTGCACGATTTAGGGCGACTGGCCCTAAATCGCCTAAAATTATGTAGGCCAATCAAAAACTACCAAATGAACAATAATAATGGGTTCACCATAACCATTCCTTGTTTTTTAGTGTTTTAGGGACACAAAATAGAAATTCAAAATGATTTTTAACTTTTCATGTGCTATAGTCCAAGCCATCTACATGAATTCGAGTGACCGGCTTCGAATCGTCTAAAAGAAATTGGGCAATTAGAAAAGACCTAATGAACAATAGTCATGAGTTCGTCATGACCGTTCCTCGTTTTTTGATGTATTAGGGACAAAAATAGAATTTCAAGATGATTTCCAAATTTTCGTGTGCTATAGTCCACGCCATCTACATGAATTCAGGCGATCGGCTCCGAATCGCCTGAAATTTTACGGGCCCATAAAAATGACCTAATGAACAATAGTCATCACTTCGCCATGATCATTCCTCGTTTTTTGGCGTAATAGGTCCATAAAACAGGAATGCAACGATTTTCAAATTTTCTTGTGCTATAGTCCACGCTATCTGCATTAATTCGGCCGACCGGCCCAGAATCGCCTTAAATTTTGTGAACCTATCAGTAACGACCTACAATAGTCATGGGTTCGTCTTGATCGTTCCTCTTTTTTTTATTTTAGGGCCATACAATAAGAATTCAGTACGATTTCTAAATTTTCGTGTGCTATAGTCCACGTCATCTGCATGAATTCGGGCAACCAGCTCCGAATTATCTAAAATTTTGCGGGGCCATCAGAAACGACCTAATGAACAATAGCATAGGTTCGCCATGATCGTTCCTTATTTTTTGCCGTTTTAGGGCCAGAAAATAAAAATTCTAAATCATTTGCAAATTTTCATGTGCTATAGACTACGCCATAAGCATAAACTCGGACGACCGATCCCGAAATGCCTAAATTTTGCGGGCCCATCAGGAACGTCCTAATAAACATAATCATGTGTTCACCATCACCGTTCCTAATCTTTTAGCATTTTAGCACCATAAAATAGGAATTCAAGACGGTAATAATTTTCGTGTGATGTACCACGCCATCTGCATGAATTCGGGCGACCTGCTTTGAATTGCCTAAATCTTTGCGGGCCATCAGAAACAATCTAACGAACAATAGTCATGGGTTAGCCAATGATTGTTCCTCGTTTTTTGGTATTTTAGGGCTATAAAACAGGAATTCAAGATAATTTTTAAATTTTCATGTACTATAGTCCACGCCATCTGCATGAATTCAGGCGACCAGCTCCGAATCGCCTAAAATTTTCTGAACCTATTAGAAACGACTTAATGAACAATAGTCATGGATACGCCTTGATCGTTCCTCTTTTTTTGACATTTTGGACCATAAAACAAGAATTCATGACGATTTCCAAATTTTCATGTGCTACCATCTGCATGAATTTGGGCGGACAACCTCGAGTCGTCTAAAATTTTGCGGGCTCATCATAAATGACCTAATAAACAATAGTCATGGTTTGCATTGATTGTTCCTTGTTTTTAGCATAGGGCCATAAAACTAGAATACATGACGATTTGTAATTGTCCGTGTGCTATAGCCGACGCCATCTGCATGAATTCGGGCGACCAACTCCGAATCGCCTAAAATTTGTGGGCCCATCAGAAATGACCTAATGAATAATAGTCATGGGTTCGCCATGACAGTTTCTCTTTTTTGGCGTTTTAGGGCCATAAAATGGGAAATCAAAACGATTTTCAAATTTTAGTGTGCTATAGTCCACGCCATCTGCATGAATTCGGGCGACCGGCTCTTAATCGCCTAAAATTTAGCGGGCCCATCAGAAATGACCTAATGAACAATAGTCATGGGTTCACCATGATCATTCCTCATTTTTTGGCTTTTTAAGGCTATAAAACAAGACTCAGGACAATTTCCAAATTTTCATGTGCTATAGTCCACGCCATCTGCATGAATTCCGGCAACCGGCTCTATATCGCTTAAAATTTTACGGGTCCATCAAAAACGACCTAATGAAGAAAAGTTATCGCTTCATTATGATTGTTCCTCGTTTTTTGGCGTTTTGTAGTGAGAATCTTTTGGAGGCTATAGTCTACCTTAGTTCCCTTTTTCTCCTATAGTTACCTTCTTTTTCTTAGAGGTTTGCATATTTTTTATAGTCTTGCAAACAAATGTTATGCAAGAAATCAATGGTGAAATTAATTGCTGGGAATAAAAGAAACAGTATAATACAAGTTCACATTCTTGCTCTGTTCCCATCATCAAAATGTTGTATTTACTGTCTGATAAAATGTTAGTATATGACAAACATATTATATATATATATATATATATATATATATATATATATATATATATATATATATATATCAATTTTCATCTTTTTGCCGTTGTTTAGGACCATCATTTTCGACTTGAAACTGTTCAATTATGTGTTTGAGAGTTATTAGACATTTCTATGGTTCTTTGGTGTGTGATGGTTGGTACAAAAAAAATGTAATATGACAAACATATTATATCAATTTAATTCTAACAGGGGAAACGATTGCCATAGATATCTGCAATAATATATTTTGTTTATTTCATTACAGTATTTTCGTTTCATACTTTTGCTCACAGTACTGAATAACACTCAAAATAATTCATAGAAATTAAACTGGATTTGATCAGACTTTGTTCAGACACTATCAGCTGCAAGCAGTCCATGTCCAAAGAGGAACTTCTCATTCTCTTCTGTTAAAATATTTGTCTCATTCAGAAGCCTACAACAAGTAAAGAAAATAAATTTTGGTTATTTAAGAAACAAATAAACGTGATTTTGTCAAACATATGAATGAGTGAAATTAATGACTAACCTCTTTATTTTAATTATTTATATTGCCAAATTATTTACGCAAATCATCATCATAAAATAATATATTGAATTAAAGTAATAAAAATCAGTTGTTACAAATATTTGTAAAAAGTTACAATGATGAAATAAAACTTCGAAAAATGACGCTGTATAGCCACTCTTAAAATAATAACCGAAAAAGTGTATAATTTTTCTATATTATATACAAAAATTATACAATTTTGATTTACTTTTTCGGCTACCGAATGTAAATAGTTTCTGACGGGGGCTAAAAGTGATAATACCCGATAAAAATTTGTTAACTGCGATAACAATGTAATACTTCCCTTGGAAAGTTTTTGACGAAAATTTTGAGTATTAGAGAATAATTATATTTAAGCGTTAGTTGGAGCAAATATATAATTTTAGAAAAATTACTTTTCCCCTCCTAATAAATATATTTTTTTTTTGAAAAATATTTTCAGATAATCAAACATCGAAAAATAATTATCTAGACTTACGATGTAGCAACAGCCTTGTTCATAACAGTACGAAAGAGCATGAAAGCAGCATCAAGATACTGAAGTTCTCCATTAATCCTCTCTTTAATTCTGTTCTCAAGAACCTCAGCATCTAGTTTAAATGGTTGATCCGAAGCCTATAAGAAAATTAATTATAATTAAGCTATTGATTATGAAATTAAAAAAAGGGTTAAGATAATTTGAATAAAAGATAAATAAGGGACTATTATACCAAAACCCATCCACGTGTATCAGCAAAAGATGGTACGTGAGCTGTGTAAGCTATAACATCTGCAATATGACATCGTTACATAGCTTAGCATTAAAAGTAAAGTATGCAGGATTTTTCGTAAGCGATGTTAATATTGAAAAAAATTGAAGAATTAACTTAAATAATTGTTCACACAAATTTCTTAAACTAAAAATAACAGGCGGGTGTATAATATATGTAAAATTCATGTATAATATGTATATAACTGTGTATACCGCCTAGAAAAAGTAAACAGTAAATGTGGCCGGCTATTTGTGTAATAATTCCAAAAGAATTAACAAATAAACAAATGAATATAATAATAAGCAATGTTATTTTTTAAATCCATACTATATATTTTTATTTACTTATTATTTATATATAATTTATTATTAAAAAAAATTAACGAAGTAGTCTCACGTGACGTCGCTTGGGACTAGGTCAATCCAGCTTGAAGAGTTGAGAACAAATATGAGACGACTAATTTTAAATGGTAGGTGAAATAGTGATCCAAAATATAACGGAAGATTATCTTATAAAACTAAGTCAAAAGTACCAAGATGAATTTTGAATTATTTTCTTGAAAATATCAGATCTCCTTTTGAAATCAAGAGAAGAGAGGAATTGTAACATTGCTCATCAAATAACAAGATCAAATGCAGTGTTAGAACAGTAGAATTACACTTGAAAACTTGTTTAGCAGTGTTGTAAACTGATGAGAACAATTCCTTATGTGAGAGAATTCCAGCAAAACCAGCCTGCAAAAATCACAAGTCTGGTAAGTTTTGCTTGTTATAATTAATAACATGCTCTATATATAGTTCAGACTTATCCCGTAGGTATCACGTAAAATTAGTTGAAATACGCAAAAACTGACTCTGATACACTACGATTAGAAATAGTGTTTGTTTGAAGGGCAAAATTATTATTCAATGTTAACATGGCCATTTTAGTCTTTTAACTTTGACTTAGCGTCTTCACACTTATAATATAATATGATATATAAAATAAAATAAAAAGGGATTGTGAAGAGAGAAATGAAAGAACCTGAGTGACAAAGATGCCATTATCATTGAGTTTGGACTTAATGACACTTTCATAGAAAGATTTAAAATAGAGATAATTGCAAGGCCCTCCTTCACGAGGATCAGATAAATCTCCCACTATCACATCATACTTCGACTCGGTCTTTTCCAACTCCACCCTTTCACATGCACAAGCTAGCGGTTAATGCAAATAATTTAATTTATACACACTAACGATATAAACATATAATTATTTATACACTATCAGAAGGAGCCCAACGGTAAAGTTATTTTCGTAAGACCTATAGGCAGTGGCGGAGGCAGGATCTCCACGAAGGGAGTTAAAAAAAATTTTTTGTAGCTAGTGGGAATTGAACCCATGACCTTATGTAGATTTTGAACCCCCTTGACCACTAAACTACACTTTTGGATTGTGTTAAGGGTGTTCAAAACTTAATATACAAAGGTAAAAAACAGATTTGCCTTATATATACAATGTAATTTTTCGGCGAAGGGTGTTCACCCCCTAAATCCGCCCCTGCCTATAGGTCATGGTTTGAGCTGTGAAAACAGCGACTAATGCTTGCATTAGGATAGACTATCTACATCACACTCTTTGGGATATAGCTCTACGGATACTTTGTGTACCGAGCTGCCTTTTTATTTATACACTTTTAATCTAATTTAAACTTACTTGGCGTCATTGATGATGACATGAAGCCTCCGATCAGCAAAGGCTTCTTGATTTGCCGTAAGGTGTTTACAGCAAATATTCACAACTTCCTACAAATATACACAATTTATCACACTTTCCACAAGTTATCTATTACTCTCTCCGGTCCAAATTAAGTAATATTTTGGTTTTTTTCTTGTGGTACAAAATAAGTGATATTTTCAGATTTCAAGAATGAATTAATTATTTTTTTCCTATATTGTCCTTGGAGTAAATAGTGTTGGAATATGTGTTAGGAGTGTTTATGTGGGATAGTAAAGGTTAATATGGTCAATTTCATTGTTAATTAATGCTAAAAGGTGGATTTCTTAATCTGTATGAAAACATCCAAAAAATCACTTATTTTGGACCGGAGGAGTACTAATTAATAATCCAAACTGAGATTTCATTGATTAATTAACGAAATGATAGACACAAAAAAGAAATAGAAGAGGATGGTCATAAATCATACTTGATCAATATCAGACATTACAACTTTCTCAATGCTGTAATGTTTAAGAGCCTCTCTTGCAGCTGATCCTTCCCCACCTCCCATAATAAACACTGTTTTGGGACTGATCATCAAAAAAAAAAAAAAAAAAAAAAAAAAAAAAAAAAAAAAAAAAAAAAAAAAAAAANATCATCAAAAAAAAAAAAAAAAAAAAAAAAAAAATCATCAGTCCAAAAAAAAAATATTAAAGTCGCGCCCACTAGGTGAGGTAAATTGCTTCATACCAAGAATTTCTCTATTTTCAGTACATAAACCGAAAATTCTAGTTAAGAATAAATGAATCTTAACCATCTTACGACGTAACAGAAAATGAAAACTACTATAAAACGAAAAATAGAATATATAGTCAGTACAGACATAAAGATAGATCTATGAGAAAAATTAAGTACTTGTCATGAAGTAAGAGAGCAGGATGGATCAAACTTTCATGGTATATAAACTCATCATTTTCAGCACTCTGCATTTTTCCATCAATCACCAAAACCTGCATATCATTCATTTATACATTATCCATATATTAAAATCCTAAAATAGGTTTAGAAAATTTTAATTTTAATTTTTGGGTGGGGGTGGGGGGGTGTGGTTATAGCCAACCTTTCCAAAGTGCTTTGTGTCTAAAAGTGCCACATCTTGAAACTTGGTGGTATCTTTGTATAGGACACTGCAATATTTCATTGTTAGACTCAACGAAGAAATCAGGAATTTCGTTAAGGAGTTTCATATAAGATATAATATATATGCATGAAAATTAATATTTATATATATATATAGATATAGTATAATTTTTCGGCGATGAATGTTCGGCATTCATTACCTGTTTATGGCTAAAGACCATTTGAGGTCGGCTTGAAGAGTCTCTTCAAACCATTGAATATTCTCCCCATTTTCCTCACAATTTTCAGAAATGACATTTGAGTGAACAATTTCTTTCTCAATTGTTTGCTCCATTCTTCAATTAGAAAAAATAAAATAAAATGAAAGTTCTCTTTATATGGAGCAATAGGCTATATAAACTCTGATTAATATATAAAGATATATACATGTCAAAATTTGTACATCATTTCAAATTTATTTCTGGATTGAAGATTATATAAATCTGATCTCATTTTTCATGTGAACATTCAAAATCAAGTCAAATTTTTGGATAATGTATTAGTTATTACTTTTTATTTTATCTATTCTTCATTACTTAATTGTCCTAGGTGGTTGGGACTTGGGTTGGAGGATATGAGGAAAAATAAATTGAATGCATCATCCATTTTTTATTTGTCAACAATCAACTCATTCGAAAAAATTAACATTTATTTTTCATCTCACAAAACTGACTTTGTTTTTTTTTTTTTTAACAAGTACATATTCCCTTCGGTCCACTTTAACTAATTTTTTGGTTGTTTTCACACATATTAAAGAATCCAAATTTTAGTATTAATTAACAGTGTAATTGACCATAATAACTTTAATTTATTCATTGAAAATACAACGTATACTCCTAGGCTCTTTATTTAGGAGCAACTTTGAAAAAAAAAAAGATGTTAATTCTTTCTTGATATTTAAAAAAAACAAATATTGTGAAACACAAATATATATANTGAATATGTTGAAAAGTTGAACGGATTCAAAGAAATGTAACGATGCAAAGCATGGAGAAAACAAAGAAGGAGAAAAAAAAAAATATCATGACCAAGAAAGAGTGATGTTAAGTCTCTCTAGTTCCCCTAAGGAAAAAGAAAAATGCCTCAAAGAGTCAGCGAAACATGAGCCAAAAAGAGAAAAAGTGGAGTGCTTAAGGAAAGATAGACCCGTTCTATTCCAACATATCCAACCTTAGTCCAAAAGCCTTCATTACATTCCGAAAAAGCCCTACGTGATTTCAAGCCGAGTGAACTTAGATTAGTGGTGATCTACATGAGGGGCAAGCATATGATACTTAGAGCCGTACTTGTGACATTCTTTTGAGAGAGATGAGAGAACTTTTCACAAATCTTTGAAATGAGTGCTACATTCTTAAGTGAGATATTCTAACGGAGAGTAGAGGAGGAGGACTTTGGGATCCACAATAACCTACATAAAAGAGCGAGTTTCCTTGATGAATAAAGTCAACTCTTGATGCTCAAGTGTCACTATGGGGTGAAATTCAAAAATAGCCAGATTTACAAGTGGTCATTCAAAAATTGTCACAGTTTCAAAAATAATCGAAATTTAGCCACTTTTCATGTAAAGATAAATCTGAACGAAAACATTGTTCAAAATTCGGAAAAAATACTCCAGTATAATATACTGGAACTCCAGTATACTTGTGTTAGAACTCCAGTATAATTCAATCTCCAGTATATTATACTGGAACTTTCCACGTGTTGGAGTTCCAGCATAATATGCTGGAAGTTCATACACAGGTGCACCGATCTCCAGTATATTATGCTGGAACTTTCCATGTTGCAGCAAAATAGTGGCTATTTTTCAAAGACTTTGCAAACGCTAACTATTTTTGAATGACCAGTCCGATAACTGGTTAGGGTGCTATTTTTACGTTAAATTGACCATTTTCCCAACAAATTTTTAGCAGTTCATAAAATGTTTTTCTTTCTTCATAATTTATAAACTGTTATTTGTACGATTTTGGAAAGGATAAAAGATTGTCTTGGTCGATCAAAATAGTGTCTTCCGAAGTGAGGAAATTGTCGCATTATGGCAAACTAATAAATGGAGGCCATTGCTTAAGGAATATAGGAAAATAAAATCACCAGAATATTTAATTTCACTTTCACTTTTCACATTCAAAAATGACAAACATAATAAGCAAAAATATAATCCAGGATGTTTAATTCCACTCCCCATTTTTAACTCAGAAAATGAGATGCATAAAAAATTTAAATACACACAAAAATATAATCTTGGTAGTCGTTACAACGAACAAATAAACAAATAGATCAAATAGATGCTATTTGATGATCCATTTACATTATTTTCTGTCCAGTTATTCCATACCAAACATCTAGAATTTTAGTTGCACAAGTGACAAAAATAAGAAAACTGAAACTTTGTAAGAAGCATTCAAGTCTAAGTAAAGCTGGAAAACCTTAACATTCTAATAACACAATATTCACATGCCAAATAAAACTGGAAAGAGAGTAGTAAATAATTGAATTTTCAGTTTTTTCTGCTTTTAATACAAAACTCTTAACCAATCAAAAGTGTAGGGGTCGACTTGTTCAATTTTACTAATGTATATAAGCATTCTTAATTTCGTATAAGCTACCCCACACTTCCTTTAAATTCTCCAAAAAACGAACAAAATAAGTAGGCATTTGCTCGTAAATTGGAACATGCATTTCACTTGAAAAAATATTGCAACTTTAGTATGGGCAATAAACTTTTACTATACAATATTGAATTCTTTTTCAAAAAAAATTGAAAAACCCAATATCAAAATTCAGTTTAATATAACACTGAGTGCAAATTGCTGCAAGCACACACTAGGTGTAAAATACAAAAAACTTGATGAGTTAATGCAGGTGCAATCACTGCTGAGCAGTGAAGACAAATGAACGCAACACGGAAAAAGGGCAAAATTGATAGAGCAAAAGTTTCATTCAAGCAGTACGATTGTCGATGTAACAAAAAGCAATTCTCCAAACATGTCTCTATATAGAGTACCCAACGTTGATAAAACAAAACTAACACTCAACTTAAACGAAATACAGTATTTGGAAAATTGTTATAAGATGATGAAACTGAAGCTAGCTGTCTAGCTAATTGGAACAGGAGCCTCAGTGTCAACTGGCAGCACTGGTGGTGGTGGAGGGATGTTGTATTCTTCTTCCTCCTTGGGAGGATGGATTGTGACAAGATCTGGAAGGGGTGTTGTTGGACCTTGCTTTCCTTTGGGATCCCAATCAAGCATAATCTTGACCTTGATGCCAAGTACTCCCTAAAGAACAAAAGAAAAATCAAAATCACATCAGAAACCAGAATGACACAATAAATAAAAAGCAACCACCAGGAACAGCAGAACTAAAGCGCTAAGCAATCTAAACTTTACCTGTCTCATGAGAATGTGTCTAACAGCAGAGTCAATATACTCTTTGACAGGCTGCCCAGAAGAAATCATGTAACCATCTTTGAACTTCATGGACTTGGCACGCTGAGCTCTCAATTTTCCACTAACAATCACCTGAATAAAGTAACTGTGAGGAACTAGTACAATTTATTAGACGTGTCATGAGCAGATAGAGAATTGAAGAAGCATACCTCACATCCCTTGGCTCCACTCTCCATGATAAATCTCAGGACACCATAGCATGCCCTGATAATGTTTGAGAATACTTGTTAGACCAACAAAGAAAATAATTAAACTAGTCAAACAAAAACCATAAGAAATACATATGGAAACAAATTAAGCATGTTGCAAACCAAGGACAGAGGTGTAAGAATTACAACTCAGACGTCTTTAGCCTGCTTCAGCTGATATAGTCATCTTCCGACACAAACTTGGTACTACATAAAACCTATTTGCTTTATAGATGACAGGAGGCATGGAGGACTAAATTGCACATAGAAACACATATGGAAACAAATTAAGCATGTTGCAAACCAAGGTCAAAGGTGTAAGAAGATACATCTCAGAAAATATCTTTAGCCTGCTTCAGCTGATATAGTCATCTTCCGACACAAATTTAGTACCAAGGCAAACCTATTTGCTTTATAGATGACAGGAGGCATGGAGAACTAAATTGCACATAGAAACACATATTGGAAACAAATTAAGCATGTTGCAAACCAAGGCTAGAGGTGTATGAAGTTACAACTCAGAAAATGTCTTTAGCATGCTTCAGCTGATATAGTCATCTTCCGACACAAATTTAGTACAAGGTAAACCTATTTGCTTTATAGATGACAAGCACAGGCGATCAAGATACCTAGTTCCAAGATAACACAACGAAACATTATTTACAAATATGTCCTCGCCAAAATTACTGCATAAGACTAATTACATCATGAGAATGATGGCATGGAGGACTATAACTCTAGTCATCATCCGACACATGATTGGTATTAGAAAACCAATTTGCTTTGTGGATGACATAGAACCTTCTAAGAGATCCAAGATATTGCTCTTCTTATACAAACATTACACCATAGCTCGTGAAGAACATAAATTAATGAACAAAAATTGAAAAAGACACGAGACATGTAGAGACAATAATGTTTTAACAGGGGAAAGCATTGCAGAAAGTAAAGTCACAAGTCACTAGGAAAGGAGGAGAAAGTAAAGCATTACAAGTTAGAAAAACAAAGTGGAAAAGCACAAGTCACTAGCACAAAGCAAAAGGTAACATATGGCAGATAGATTGAAAATTACCTTCTAACAGCAAGACCACCAAGGAGCTTGTATCGAAGTGACTCAGCCTGAGCAACAGCACACAGTCCTCTGTTGTTAACCTTCTCAGCATACAGCTCAACAGTGCCCTCTTTAAAGTTGAATCTCTTCTGGACAACTGATGTCAACTCCCTGATCCTCCTTCCCTTCTCACCTAATAATAAAACCAAATGTACCAATAATCAACCGCACACACGAAATGTATTCAGATTACTATCAACAAGACTTAAATCCATTCGATACACAGTACTTGTCAAAGGAAAGGAGGAGCATTGCACCACAGAATTAATTCAAGGAAATATATGACCAAATACATGATGAGAACAACTTATTCATCACTTTTCCTCCGTGCTTGTTCCTTTATTTAGAAAATAAAAAGGAACTCCAAATAAGGATATAAGTAGCACTAATCATTCTCTTTCACCCTCTAAAATCTTCTCTGTAATAAGGATATAAGTAGCACTAATCATTCTCTTTCACCCTCTAAAATCTTCTCTGTATCTTCCCAAAAGCATACTCCCATCAATCCCAATTAATAAGACACTTTTACATTTTAATACGTCCTGAAAGAATGATATATTTTATCTTTCTAAACAATTCAACTTTAAATGTCATTTTACCTTAATTAGATTTTTCATAGCAACACAAATGTCTATATCATATCAAATGCTAAACAATTAACTTTAAACTAGTCACTTTACCTTAATGAAATGATTGTTTGCCATACGAACATCTTTCATATAAAACGCTAAACAATTTGACTTTACGCGTGTAGTTTTACCTTAATGAAATGATTTTTAGCCACACAAATGTCTATATCACATAAAATGGGACGAAGCGATTATTATCCAATCGAACCACTAATACAGAAGCATACTCCGGGAGATGACATAAGGCCAAAACTTCATTTTAAACATACGCAATCAATTGGATCTGGAAGTTAACACGCAGATAATTATAACTAAGAACTTTACAACTAGCAATAAGATAATCAAACACAAATTGCCACATAAATAACAGTTCACGTCAAAAATGAGTAACAACTGCAATATAAATTCTTAACGAAGACAAGTTAGAGGGACTACCGAGAACATTCTGGGTACGAGTGGCTCTGATGATGATTTCAGTCCTCATTGGAGTAACCCTAACCTCCACTCCAGAGTATCCATCCTCAGCCAACTCACGTGTCAACACCTCGTTCAGCTCGGCGAAGAACACGCCATCGGCAACAAACTGAAACGGCCAAATGTATTAGTAACTTTTCAAAAAAATTCACAAATGTGATATCTATACACACATGCTGAAAACAAATTACAAACCTTTCGCTTCTTGCTAATCTGAGTAGCCATCTTTGCTTTCGAAGTTTTGAAAGCTTAGCAGACAGAACCACTAAGCTCTAGTTCGCCGTTAGATTTTGCAAGCGATATGCGGTATAGGGTTTTTCGCCTTCTGTGGCATGCTTATATATATATATGGTGAAACCTAGGGTTATGTTACTGGGCTTTCTTTTGGGTCAGAACAATTGAAGGCCCAGCCTCTAAAAACGCACTCGTACCTAGTATGCGATTTACAGGGAGAAATTATTTTGAACAACTATCACTATCACTTTATGTGTGGCATTTAAGACAATCAACTTGTAAGAGAAAAAAAATCTCACACAATTAGTGTTAGTTATGTGAGGTGCAAAATGAATTTTTTTACCTATAGGTATCGATAGAGTGAAAAAAAAAGGGTCCTTATATCGGATATCTATGTGTTTTGTGTTAATTGACAACAACAATAATAACCTAGTGGAATCCCACGCGTGGGGTCTGAGGAGGTTAGTGTGTACACAGATCTTAACCTTACTCCGGAGGAGTAGAGAGGCTGTTTTCGATAGATCCTCAGCTCACGACGATGGAAAGAGACAGTGGAGCAGTAACACAGCATACATAAAGGTTTACCACAGCATGAAATATAGCTAGTCTAGTTTTAATTTAATTTTACCACCGCATAAGTAAACTCACTTTTAAGTGAATTTGGACTATATATGTCGTCCAAATTTGCATAACCATGATAAGATTTTTTTTAAAAAAACCAAGCTTGATTTGGTAATTAATTAAAATATAAAGAAAATAAAAATAAAAAATAATTTTATGTTGAACAAACTGGATCATGACATGTTGCTTTGTCCAAATTATCCAGATCCAAGTATACGTTGGGCCAATTAGGACCCAATCCACGTTCAAAATACAAGTGCACAGATAGTCATTTTCGGCGTGATATTTAGAGATTAGCTAGTACTTATTTTGTTTTGAAATTTTAAATTAAGAATCTTAACTTCAAGACAATTTAGGATATTTTTTATTCCGAAAAACTAAAATTTAGGACGCAACTAATATCTAAATAGCAGTCCTTTAGGGTACCTGGTGTCATTTCTACCATCTGGGGATCTTTACACAAATAGCCGGTTGAATTCATTGTTTACCTTTTCTATCTAGTATACGTAAATTGTAGATTAATTATATATAATTAAACACACATTATATATTGATTTATATATATTTTATACATTCGTTGGCTATTTGTAATTTAAGTGATTGAGTAAACAGTTATTTAGGTTAGTCCTTCTTAATTTTGTGTGGTTAATTTATGTTGTTGTATCTCATGTAAATTAAATCCATATTTGTAAGCACGTAACTTTTTACACGCGCAACTTTTAAAAAGCAGTATTTTAAAAACATTTACTTATTTTCATTTTAATAGGATTTTGGTCAATTTTTAATTTTTATTTTAAAACATAAGTTTAAAAACACAAAAATAGTTTTATAATATTTCCTCTCTTATCATATATCTTTTTTATTTTTATCTTTTTTATTTATTTAATCTTATTAGTATTCATAATGATAATATTTAATTTTACCATTACTTTAACATAGTTTTCTCTACCTTTTTTTATAACATTTAAAATAAAAATTATTGGCATAATCACTTAATCTTCTTGAGACCGAATTCATATCATGACATGAAATCTACTTTACTCCCCAACTAAACAACATGAAAAGAACCTTCAACACACCCATAACTCGGGTCTATACATCAAATAAAGATGAAAATCAAACACCAAATAGTTCTTTTTACCCTCGAGCAGACTCTCCTCGTCACATCCAAATTATATGAACACATCTCGCAGTCACATCATACTCATCACGTAGCCATCCAGCCATTACTTCCACCAATAGGGACACTACCGAACATACAAATCCCAAAAGCACGTGCTCACACAATCAACACCTCAGTGTTCAAGCTATAAGGCGAAACCTGGCCTCAAGTCCTCCAGACTGGCCCAACTTTAACACACAGAAATTATATCTCACCCCTCGTTCAGGGAATCACAAGTCGTCGGTGCACATATGATACCGAGCGCTCATGCGCGCATACGAACGTGTGGAAGGAATTTCAAGAATTACATTTCAAGCTGAATCAATGTCGAACGATAAGAATTCAAGAATGTGAAGTTTTCTTAAAGGTTCTGCAGCCTCCCGAGGATAAGTACAGACGTCTCCGTACCGATCCGCGAGACTCTACTAAGCCTGCTCATGACTCGTGCGACCTATTTAACCTAGGCTCTGACACCAACTTGTCACGACCCTAAAATCGACCAGGTTGTGATGGCGCCTATCATGAAACTAGGCCAGCCGACACAATTCTCAAATCAAACCATCATCCTATAAAAGCCATTTTTAAGTCATTAATTAACAAGTAATCTCATAACATAAGTCTAAATAACGAGTACGGAATAAATACACCAACCAGACATCGGGGTGTCACAAGTCACGAGCATCTACTAAGGTCTGAATACAACGAAGAGTCTGAAAATATACTAAAAACAATCTAAGGAGGGTAAGAGGGAGAAAAGCAGGGTTGCGAACGCCGGGCAGCTACCTTGCTAACTCCGATGAACCTGCCACTGAGTAATCAACACCCGCTACCGCGTTCAGAAATATACTTGAATCTGCACACAAGGTGCAGGGAGTAATGTGAGTACGCCAACTCAGTAAGTAATAAAAGTAAATGAAAGCTGAGCAGTAAGAAAATAGATAATTCCACGTCACAACACTACAGCAAATACAGTACATCTCCAAAACAGTATAGAACTCAATTATCTCGTAGAAACAAACTCAATTTCAGTAAAACTTTTTCTTTTAAAACACATTTCAATAGTTTTAAATAAGTGAAGAAACAGTGAGTCAAAATGATAGAAACGTAAACAGCCCCTCGGGCAAAATATGTACCATAACACGTCCCTCGGGCAAAATATCAACAGAACCAGCCCCACGGGCTACCTCACAATCACTCATAATCAGCCCCTTGGGCAATAACATAAAACAACAACAGCCCCTCGGGCAATATCACATCACTCACACTGGGTACCCACGCTCACTGGGGGTGTACAGACTCCGGAGGGGCTCCTACAGCCCAAGCGCTATAATCAAGCCATCTCGTGGTAAATCAGTCAAGCCCTCGGCCTCATAATAACAAGCCACCTCGTGGCATAAATCAATCAGGCCCTCGGCCTCACAATATCATGAATCAGAAACAACTTGCTGCGGCGTGCAGCCCGATCCCATAATATCCTCACAGCACAGGCCCTCGGCCTCACTCAGTCAGAATTCACTCAAGCCCCTCGGGCTAGCAGTAAAAATAGGTACTCGGCTCAAAATATCATTTATAAAATCGAAAGGAGTAAATAAAAACCGAGTTATGAAATCAATGAAAGCACGGCATAACTGAGTGTAAATATTACCAAAAGCAGTGAGGAACAGTAGTAAAAAGCCCCTAAGGGTCCAAACAGTCGGCACAAGGCCCAAACACGGCATTCAGCCCCAAACATAGTAATAATTTCCAAAATATAATAATATCAAACAGTTTCCATTTAAATACGCGACTTAATAGTCGTACGGGATGGACCAAGTCACAATCCCCAACGGTGCACGACCCCACGCTCGTCATCTAGCGTGTGCTTCACCTCAAAACAACACAACGATATGAAATCCGGGGTTTCATACCCTCAGGACAACATTTACGATCATTACTTACCTCAATCCAAGCAAAATCCTACTCCAAAATGCCTTTGCCCCTCGAATCGGCCTCCAATCGACCCGAATCTAGCCATAATTAATTCAATTTAGTCAGTACTAATTATAGGAATTAATTCCATATGAAAATACTAATTTTCCAACAAAATCCAAAATTTAACTCAAAATCGCCAATGGGGCCCACGTCTCGGAATCCGATGAAACTCACAAATCCGACAACCCATTCAACCACGAGTCTAACTATACCAAAATTACAAAATTCCGATAAAATTTCGACCCTCAAATCCTCAAATCTATCCAAGAGGGTTTTCAAACTTTTCCAACTTAAAATCACCAATTAAATGTTAAAAACAACGACGGATTCGAGTAATCTAACCAAAATTGAGTTAAGAACACTTACCCCGTTGTTTTCTTTGAAAATCCCTCGAAAAATCGCCCCATCTGAGCTTCCTTGGTCCAACAATGGAAGAATGGGATGAATTTGGACTTTATTCTACTGCCCAGTGGTTTGTTCTTCGCGTTCGCGACCCTTCTATCGCGTTCGCGATGAACAAATTCCTCATCAACGATTTCTAAACTCATTCTAGACAGCCTTTAGTATAATTGCCATAACTTTTTGCACACAACTCCAAATGACAAATGGTTTGAAGTTCTGAAAACTAGACACCAAGGTCTATAATTTCATAGGTTGCTCATTTTCCGAGTCATTATATATTGCGATATATAAGCTTCCAAAGTCAACCCTATGCAGTAGAGATTTTTGAACTCTCCCCGGACAGCCTGTAGTGTAACTACCATAACTTTTCGTACTCAAATAGAGATGCCAATTAATTTACATTTCTGAAAATTAGACACAAAGGGCTACAACTTTTATGTTTGGATCATCTCCAAATTCCTTACAGATTGTGAGATATGAGCCTCCGAAGTCAGACCTATGCAACCGAGATTTCCTTCTTCGGAACACGAGAGTCTCTTCGGGAACGCGAAGAACAAACTTCCAGAAGCCAAATTCTACTTCGCGAACGCGAAGAAAAACACCAGATATCAGAAAATCAGCATCCAAAGTGGCCCAAAATGATCTGAAACACACCCGAATCACACTCGAGACCCCGGGGACCCCAACCAAATATACCAACAAGTCCTAAAACATGATAAGGACTCGGTCGAAACTTCAAATCACTTCAAACAATGCTAAAACCGCAAATCACACCCCAATTCAAGCTTAATGAAACTAAGAACTTCCAACTTCTATATTCGATGCCGAAACCTATCAAATGAAGTCCGATTGACCTCAAATTTTGCACACAAGTCATAATTGACATAATGGAGCTAGGAAAATTTTCAGAACTGGATTCCGACCCCGATATCAAAAA